ATCGTCCTCATCACCAAATATTTGGTAATAATTACCAAATCACATCGTCCTCATCACCAAATATTTGGTAATAATTACCAAATCACATCGTCCTCATCACCAAATATTTGGTAATAATTACCAAATCACATCGTCCTCATCACCAAATATTTGGTAATAATTACCAAATCACATCGTCCTCATCACCAAATATTTGGTAATAATTACCAAATCACATCGTCCTCATCACCAAATATTTGGTAATTGGAACCAAATCACTTCGTCCCAATTACCAAAACGCTTTTCTAGTGCAGTATCCAGCAAAATGGCGGCCACTGGATACTGCACTGAGGCTGAGTTCCACTTGGTGATCGCAACGCTCGCGAACATTATCTATCTTTCTTTAACTTTCGATGAAAAACAAAGATAAAATGATTCCATAAGCGTTGCGATCGCCAAGTGGAACGTACCTTGAGTGAGACGAAATGGGAACGCAGCCAAAGTTTGATAGCTTGATAGCGAAGGTTATTTTGACAGTTATTTAAAATAAAAAAAATTTATCTAAATATTTAGATTTCCTAATTATTAAATTACTATAATAAGTGCGTGCGCGCAGCGCGCGCCTGTATTGTTCTAGTTTTGAAAATAATGTATGTTTATATAATTAAAATTTTCTAATTTTACGATTTAAGAATAACAAATTCTATACAAAACTTGTGCTAAATTTAAAATTTTTTATTCTTAAAATTTATTATTTATTTGTAAAAATGTAAATCGTTGACAAGAATATAATTGTCAAGGCGCTATTATTAGTACGTATAGACTTATATGGTGAATAAAAAAGTAGATAATATCAGTAGTAGATAATATCAGTATCAGATAATATTTTGTATAATTACGCAAGTATAATGAATGACTTTACTCACCGGTCGTTGTACCCTAAATACAAGTACGTCTTCACAACTCCACCTGAAAAAATAAATATATTTTATTGTAAACAACATTCTAAAAATCATATATATTGATTATTACATATTATTTAATTATTTCCATTCTCATTAAAACATAACAAATTGCATCAATAATTATTTAAAAATTTAAAGAGTTATTCTTAATAATAATATATCTCGTAAATGCAAATTGTGTAATTACGTATATGTTGTATTATTACAATTATGTACATATTTAAGTACTAAACTCCATCCACTGCAAACCGTGCATTTCATTTACGTAAAAATCATATGTGGATATCGCAAATTTACCTTACTGCAATACACGAAATGTAAACGCGGGATGAAATGCAGTTTGTGTCACAATGTGTCCATTGTACATAATCGTAGCGTATTCGGCACTGTACACATACAATTAGAACGAGCAAAACAAACGACTGCTTGGCAGGCATACGAAAATACTTATAATGTTATATAGTTACACGTATACAACAACATTTTATCCAATTTATAATAATACTAATAAATTAAATTTGTAACATGCTACATTTGATGAAAAGTATATCGCGTTCTCCGAGGTTATTTTCGCGCGTTTTCAATGGAACGGTATACATCGGTTCAAACATATGATGCAGGATTAGGATCAACAAAACACGAACACTCGCGGCAAATAATTCATCTCCGGCAATTGCCCGTCACTTCAATCGGCACTCTCGATAAAAATTCGCTTGTTTTGCATGCGTAATGAATATAATAAGCTGTCAATCACAACGCGCTCCACAAATGTCCAAACGGATGTGACGTAATAGAGGTTGTCATTTTGACTACGAGATGTCGCGCATAGTTTAGTACGTCACATCCAGTCGTCATGGTGTCTCTACGCGGCATTCGGAACGCAGAGCGCAAAACGCTCTTACGATTAATCGTATATTTTATCTGTTTTAAGTGCATAACAAACGCGAATTTTGTCGGGAGTACCGATTAAAGTAACAAGCGATTGCCAGAATTTATTATTTACCATGGATGTCCGCGTTTAATTAATTAATTGGCGTTCTGTCAAGTTTAATTGTATGAATTCAGGAATACAAATTTTTACAATAGTGACGCGAAAATAATTCTATATTCGTTCAGGAGTTCAAATGCGCAGTGTAGTTTTCATTAAATGTAGCGTGTTGAAAATTTAGTTGGCCGGAATTAAATCAGATAAAATGTTATTGTTCTTACTATGCGTGTGCATACACGTGACCGTTAATTTGTTTCGCCTATTCTGAGTGTGTATGCAATGTGAAACAAACTACATATAATTTACAAATAAACGTATTGTGGCATAAAGTATAACTTTCCATAAGAAATTCATAAGCTATGAAAGTAGAATGTGCAAGTTAATTTTTGTTCAAGTGCGCGTCATTAAGTGTGAGTTTACAGTATTGATCAATAACTTTTCGAGTAAATGCGGAGCAGATGGAATTTGCAGCAGGTGGAGTAAACTGCAACCCCAGTTGGTGAGTACACAATTATTTGTTCATTCTATTTAAATAATTACAGAATTGCGATAATTACACACATACACAATTACGATTACATAACTTTATTCTATCAAGAAGCTTTTAGTACAATATTACTATAATAAAAATATTTTTAACTAATAATTTCGTTAAAAAGAGATATATTTTTATTTGCATATATTTGCGTAAACATATATTTCATATAAAGTCAAATACACGTTACAAATCAATACACAAATAAACATTTGATTAAATACTTCTTTATCATGGGAATTGCTTCTATATAATATGAATGCCATATATGGCTTAGAACATATCCTTAAAAAATTTTTGGTATGTATCTCTGAATACTACAATATAAAATATAATACTATAATAAAATATAAAACGATACACAATTAAAATAATAATACTATTATTGAAAAATGCAATTAAAATGCGTAGTCATATATCCAAATGGTATAAAAAGATCTTCGTGATAAAATGCTTTTTACTTCTTTTTGCTTTTGCCTAATGTTAGCGTATGATGCTGGGATTGTTGGGCAAACTGCGTTTTTCGTCTAGTAAATTCCAGTATATCGTCTTCAAGTTTTTTACGACTTTCTTCTAATTTCTTTTTTTCTTCTGTATGATCTTTTTTCAATTTATCAAATTTACCATGAAGCTAAAATGTGCGAGAAAATTAACAAACATTAGAAACGATTAATAAATATTAGATAATAATTTTATAGGTACAATTAAATCATCATTACGTCTTTCTCTGCCTCCTTCAATTCGGCCTCTTTTTCCTTTACTCGGGCGACAAACATCTGTCGCATTTCATCTTCTTTTTGTTGCAATTCTTGTAAATGAATAGATCTCTTTGCTTCGCACGTTTGCTGAAAGCTTACCGGTTTGTTGTCACTATCAACATCGCTGAAACCCATCTGAAATTCATAATAAGCAGCAATAAGAAAAAGATGACTTTCATAAAATGTTTCATAAAACATACTTGTTCCAATCTTTTTTTTCGATAAAGTTCATAATGACGGCAGTGTGTTTTCTCACGCATATCTTCCATGTTAGTGCTTATCAGCATTTGACGTAGTTTTAAAAAGTCACAATGTTGATCATTTTCAACTGCAACAATATTTTCATGTACAAGACAGTTTGGTGCTATCGGTTATTTTTCTTTCTATTAATGATATATAAATTGTAGAAATGTACCTTGAACTGTACCCCACGGATATTGACGAGAACGCATCATTTTATTGCCTACACGTACAAAATCAGTACTACCGACGACAGCAAAGGGTACATGAGTGTTCATAGTGATATTTGTATCTGCTACACTCTCATCGTCAGTTGGAAACTGATAAATATGTATTCCATTGTTTTGCAATTCAGATATGATTTTGCTCTGAAACATTAATAAAAAAAATTAGTAATACAGATATATAAAATCAAAATAATTTCAATAGAAATGTTTGTATACCTTAAATTTCTGTAATTCAGTCTTTGATATTGTGTCAGCTTTAGCAATAATAGGAATGATATTAACTTTGGTATCCAGTTTCTTCATGCATACTAGGTCAATGGATTTTAAGCTAAAAGTATAGATTTATATAAGATTCTTATAACTTACTTCATTATAATATCATTTGGTAATGCTACTTACCCATGACCAGTAGGACATATAAAATAAAGACAGATATGAATGCGACTATCATGATAGGTTGTGAGATTACGCTTGATTTTTAATTCCTCCTGCAAATAAGCTTCAAATTGTGCATCTATGTAATCAACAACTGCTTTGAAACTGTCCTCTTTGTTGATTTGATCACCATATCCAACTGTATCAACAATCGTTAGCTTTAATCTGACATTACTCTCTTGTAGTTCGTAGGTATGCGCTTTAAGCTTTACAGATGGCAAATTATGAGGGCTGGGACTAGACTCAAAGCTTGTATTAAAGAGGGAATCCATAAGTGTAGATTTTCCAAGTCCAGTTTCACCTATTGAAATAAATTAAATATATATTGATACATTGACTATAAACTCAATAGATATTCTATTGTGAATAAATGTTTAGAAAGCAAAATTTATTAAAAGTAAAAATAAGATTAACACTGATCATACCAATACAGAGAATGTTGAATACAAATCCATTTTGTATCGATTTATTCACCAACTGATCGGGTAAATTGTCAAATCCAACATGACCTGACAATTTCAGGTTACGCAGCACAGATTCCATCTAATAATAGAAATTACATGTCAGTATTATGATTCTACTGAGAGAGGAAGTAAAGGATTGTCTCCATAAATAGATGAATCAATGCTCAGCTTAATGTACAGTTATCATGGTACTAAAGAAAGCCCCTCCCTTGATTTTATGAGACACAATCATACAGTTTTGGATATCTTGTGCTTATAATGACGTTAAAGATGCACCAACAAAATAAATATTTAAAGAACAAAAGGAAGTTTGAGGTTCATTAATCTTTTTGCACATAGCAATGTTTTAAATGTTTTTAAGACAGAAGTTTATCAAATAGAAATGAATTTTCTAGTGACATGTACAATACACATAAAATTAGAAATAACAATAACAAATAACACCCACGCTTCGACTATTTAATGAAATCGTAATAGTGCATCTGTAGCGTCAATAAAACGGGAAATTAGTGTACAAATCAGAAAACTCTACCTTGGCACGGTCAATATCTTCTGTCGCCATTTTTCCTGCGAGTCCGTTGCGAGCACGACGCGAACAAGTATGGACACTTCTGATGGAAACTATGACCTCACAGCGGTTCTAAATCCGAGTATACATGCGCCAACGACCGACAGAACGTTATCAATAGAGTGCAGCACTGCTTGAACGCTAATTAAAAAGGTCTCGTCAAGCTCTCGATGTCAATGAATCGGTCTGGTTTGCGCACGCGAATTCCATCGCGATTTCTTACCGCGATAAAGCAATAAACAGTATAATATTTTTATTAATTTATGTATAAAGCTTACACAGCTTTAATAAAAAAGAAATTTAGATATTTAAATCATTTGTCTGAAAAGTAAAATAAAAATTATTCTAACAATGTGACCAATATGTTGTTATACGTGCATTATTTTAATATAATTATTTTTCAATATCTATTTATGTATAGAAAAGATTCTATTCCAGCTGTCGGTACAGCAGTAATAAAATAAAACAATTAATACTATCGTATGTAAACGTTTTAACGACTTCTTGTCTTTTTCTGATTGTACCATTATTCAAACTTCAATCAATTGATAAGAATTATCCTAATTTTGTAAATAATATTGATTGCATCGCCAATGCATCGTTTGTAAAATCCGCGTCAGGCTGACACATGCGCTCAACAGACCGCTTCGAGCGCCATCGTGCTACCGGGTGTTTGACAGTCACGACCGTCGCGGCGTGTATGTTCATGTGTGCAGCAGTATCGCTGGTCTAGGAACATTCGGGCCGGCGCGGCTGGCAGGCCCCTCATAACAGTGTCCACTTTCTAACATGGCAGATCAATTTGTGTTCTATTATCATGTGACGGCGAAACGCTCCCGTTGATAGGACCGTAACCTCGTGCGAAGCGATCGTAGACTCCGGTTAGCTCGCGAGTGCGAACACGCGACGCGACGCGGTCGCGTTAAACGCCGTCGCGATGGCGGACCTCAAGAGCCCGCCGTTCAGTGACATCAAGCGGCCCGAGGAGTGGTGGCGATGGCGATGAACGACAGCCTCAAGTTCGCCGTGCTGATCGGCCTGATCGAGGTGGGACAGGTGTCCAATCGGGAAGTCGTCAACACCGTGCTGCACCTGGTGAGTGTGGAGTGATGCGCGCCGACGGTGCAGAGCGCGTCCGGCGCCCGCCGTCGTCCTCGGAGCCGCGGCTTCGCCCCAGCGCGATTCCCGCCCCCTCGTCGCGACACCCGTCACTCGTTGTGACAACCGAACTGTCAAATTCTCATCTGCGCGCGCGATCGCACGGGCGCGTCGGCGACGTTTTGTTTCTCTCGCCGGGAATCTCAAATTGATCGCGCTTTCCTTCGTCCGGGAAACCGCGACTTCGATGTGCGCCTCCTGGCCGCGTGCTTTTTCATCTGACCGACGATCTATACGTCTCTGACGTATGACCAGCACCGACCTTGGAATAATTTCAATGAATGGCTCATTAGCATAGCTTTATCTTTGCATTAAATCGCCTACGTGTAAACTGTCTGTTTTTTTTAAAGAGTCGTTCTGCTTTCGCATTTACGCGGAATATGCTGTTATTATCTCTGTACTTAAATAATGCAGTTGACTAAATATTATTAAATATAACAGATGAGAGTAGATTTGAAATTAACTAATGAAGCTGTAGTTTAAACTAAATAGAAATGCTTCCGATGTGTTATTCCACCTCGACGCAAGACCATGCTCCGTAATCACATCGCGCATTCATCCGCAAAATGTGCCGTATGATAATCAGTACACGATAAGCACATCGATCGTCATAATGGGCAAACAGACGCCAGAATCCGACGGGCACATCTAATACTAAACGTGGAAAGGTGTGTACGGACCTGCAACGATGCAAGAACGTCAACAATTACGTAAGCGTAATTGTTGTATTTGCAAACAAGCGGATGAGTCGCGAATTCGTGGAACTCGCGGAAATATCGCGTGCTGTCGAACGTCGAATTCGCCTACGTTATCGCTCCGCTCCATACCTGTCCGATCCTTTTGGAGAGGATGATGACATATGTCTATTATTAGAAGAATATGGCTGGAAGCGCGAATCTCGAGAACAAATCGTGGGCCTCACTGGCCGTTTTTATTGCGAGACCAATCGCGCGATTTATTCGCGTCGTTTATATCGCTTCGCATTTATTTCAACACGACGCCGTGTGTAAGCGATCGCGCTTACGTGGATTTCACACGGCCACGTAGAACTACGTGTTTCTTATCAGCGCCGGTACTCAATCGTCCTTCACACTGAATTCGTGCCGATGACATTGAATATTTTGCGAAAATATTACGCGACGGCGCGGAGTTTATTATGCGAAGAATTTTAACGGACAAGCTTCTGGTATGGAAAAATCGGAGTGCATGCCGGAAACGCGTAATGTACACTCTCGAACACTCATCTGCATATATCTCGCACGTGGCGCCGATTAATAATTGGCGTCAGCGCGGCTACGAGTTGCATTTAAAGTCACTTAGCTATCAGCGCTGCTGCTGTCGTTCGAGCACGCGTTTCTTCGAACTTATAGATTCTCGTATATAACTTTTATACTTATATTTAACCCCGTTCGATATAGCCTCTTGAACGCTTGGAAGGGCGTAGATCGTTTGCGTGAAGTGGAACACCCTCCTCTTTGAAGGAGCACTTGCGTATAATGCATACAAAAAGTCTATATAGTTTTTTACGAAGTTTTAAAAAAAAGTTGTGCTTGAAGGCTCCATCATAAAATATTGTTGATCTCGTAGTTTTTAATTTAATCAAGAGACACGGTATTTAGTAGTCCCGAATTTAGGTAATTAATTGATGAACGTTAGAGAATGTTTCGCCTCGCAGCGCGCTGTTTGCTTGTTTCATATTGCGATTATTGTGCGTGATTGATACCAGATATTTGGAATAAGTATACATTTCGTGGCTATGGAAATTGCAAATGCACAGGTCGTGTAGCAGGTAGATAATAACAGGCGCCAGCCTGTAATAATGGGGAGAAATTGGCTATATTATATTCGTATACGGCCGTTGCCAATATTTCTGAATTATGCGTGTTATGCGTGCAACATATGTACCGCGCTTGCCGTTTGTGTTTTCGCAAGTGTAATTTGCAATATCAATTGAATATTCCAAGCTATCTATTTGCGTTGGAATTTTCTCTCCTTTTTTCCTCACATTTCTTTACGCGCAAGCCAAATATAACTCACTGCGATAATATATTCGTCAACAGTTAGTAACGGTCGCATCGCGTATATAACGATCAGGATAAAGGCCGACCGTCTTGGAGGCCAATATTGAACGCAAAGTTTCGAATTCGTTCGACCCTGAATTAGTTAGCGTCGTCCGCAGTCGTGCGATACTATTGCATAAGCTGCGGCATTTAATCTTACGATCCCTGTTCGGAATGTCGGAAATGTAGACTGCGAATGCATTAAATTATTATATGCAAAATATATTCATTGAAAAGCTATATGCTTTTTAATCGATTATTTTGCTACATTCTGCATAAAAGTGACATAACTCTTTTACCGGATATTTGTCCAGTTTTTAAAAATGGTTGTTTTACAAAATTCTATTTTAATTAATGCTGCTTAAAAATTCTGCTTCTGTAAAAATTTTGCTTGAGTTTTGCATTGCAGCAGTTTTCAATTGAAAAACATGAAAAATGTTACAATAAATCGCACGTTAAAAGAACAACTTAAACTCTCGGCATTTGGAACAAGTTACATTAATATCGTGAAGATCGAATAATATCAGCATGCAAAACTTAGTGTTCTAAATTTTTTTTTATTGTTTAAAATATATCTTGAAACTAATTTTTAGACTTATTTTTCTGAAAGCTTACAGAAATATAAATAATAGTTTAATGTTTGAAACATTGACGGTCGCTATTTTATACTTATTTTTGCAGTTTGTTATCCAAATATTAGCGCGTAACGCGATGTAGAAATATATCAGTGATCTTCTTACAACGTGATGTTACGAAAATACTATCGTGAGATTAGATGGGTAGTGTTTAAATTGCCATGAATTACAGATAAACGTTTTATCAGTATTCTGCACGTAATGTTTGACTGTTTCTCGTTATATATCTGTGAAAGGTATTTATAAACTAGTTTTGTAAAACAGCACGTTAGAATAGATTATTTTGGCACTGATAATTGCGCGCATTTTCATGTTGAATTTTTCCAAAGACTTAGTGAGAATTCTTAATAGGCTGCTTTGCCATCAATATTATTATCAATAAATGGCAGCAGATTCTACAGCATTGGAAATCGATACAAAGCGTTTACGCAGGCACATATTTGCTTCGATCGATGAATGTCAGCGAATAATTAGGCGCCAATTTGCGACTGCAATTCATCAAAGTGGCATTATTCCTACAGACGCAATCGCGTCCACATCATTGTTTCACATTCTATGAGGCGTAGTCACTTTCTACGAAATATTTTATTTATGCTTATGACATAGTTTTCCCGCGTGCACGTCGCTTTGACCATCGTGCAGTCGGTGTTAATCGATTTGGCTATATACATCGTCTACATGCAAGCTTACTTTCAACCTCGGTGGGGTTCGTATCGGCAGACTATTTATTTCCCCCGATTTAGTTTTAACGAAACATTTTCCGCATAGTTATTTTTATCCTCATAAAACATCGCGCTGTACGCACGATAAGTTGTTTTTTTAATTGTTAGTGAAAATTTTACTTCATGTAAGCACCTCTTAATTATCAGAAAAATACAGTTACGCTTTGCAAGTACGCTGTACTTTCGGGCAATATTTTCATTATTCCTTCAAGCCCATTAAATAACGAATACAGGATAAAGCTTTTCATGATATTTCATTTACTTATATTTTACAACTTTTCATAAGATAATATTTTTATTATCTCTGACATTAAAATACAGAGTTAGCGGCATCAAAGAGAGGTAGGAGGGAGAGTAAGAGAGTTTCACATCAACGATGCTTTTTCATCTATATTTCTTAATCCCGTGATAGCATTTTAACGACATTTCGTTATTAAATAGAAAATGAAAGAGAGGAGAGAGCATCGTGGCGAGCAATTTTTTTTCCATTTATGATATTTTCTCCGCGACTGACACATCTTGACATAACTTTTATGTCGTAATTGTACCTTGTCCGCCGTTGATTTTAATTAATTGTGCGAGTGTGCGGCGACAGCGATAACAACCCGCACAGGTTGCGTGTTTGTTCAGCGCGCATTTCTTGGACCTCTTAGCGTCGAAGCGATGTATCATTCGCGACACCGGCGCCGGTATTAATCGTTTTACATTCGCGTCCCGCCGTAATCTTCCGCGATAATAGATTGCACAGGTTGTCGTAGCGAAGTAGTCCTCGGTCGAATAAGCGATATCCGCGATTTCACGTACCGCCGATAGTCCGTCGCTAATTGATCGGACAAAAGCGTGATTTTGCAATTTCCATATAAATGGAAATGTAGATTCCGACGTATTGCAAGAGCGAGAATTTGCGGCCTATTGTCATCAACGGTTTCTACTCCGCGATCTATATGTTTATCGATCACAGGGGCTTTCATTCATGCATGCGACGTAATCGACGTCACGTTCGCACATCGGCCGACGCAAATTGTCCAATGAGTGTAAGTGATAAAAGTGTAAATAGTATATTGAAATTTTCCAAGTTTTGTTTCGCACGGAAATGAAAAAGCGGACAAATGTTCTGGCAAAAAAAAAAAAGACCGATATTTTTATACACAGTTCGTAGTTTGCCGAGTAACGAAATTTTATGGCTTGACGTACAATATAATAGTACAATAAACATATGATACACGATCTTATTCTTTACATAATGATACAGCGTATGTTACTTTGATAACGCAATAATTTTCGCGTCTATTTCAGTATTCATTTCTTCATCACACGCGCAGCGTAATTACATTTGTTAGAGGAGCATTATTAAAAAAAAGTTTTCAAAAGCAATATGGAATATTCATTATGCATAAATTTAAATAGATAAACAATACGTCCGAATGGAGACACAATGCGCCGATTTAATAGCGTAATTATTTAGCAAATTTACGATATTTAAAATTTCCAACAGGATATTTTTGAATTATCTCGAACCT